ACTCGTGTTACCTCCAGGAAAAAAAAAAAAAAAAAAAAAAGATTGGGGTGGGGGTTGTGGATGAAGAGCTTCAGCTCGAACAGCTTGGATTTCAGTACAAGTATCTGGGCTCTCTCCCACCCCTAGTTTTAGTCCGGAGTGCCGTTAGATGTTTCACATTTACTCCCTCTGCCACCCCTCTTCGTCTGTTCGGGGTAGGGGGGCTCTTGTGTGCCGCCAGCAGCTGGCAGGGCCGGCATCCATCTGTTTTGGCTGGATGACTCAGCTCCTCTCACACCTCAGTGTGCTGCATCCCCAGGAGCCTCTTCCTGCTGCCACCCAGTGAGGTGCTGCCTCAGGGACGTACCCCTACATCCCCCCTCATGAAGCAGCCCCTCAAGGCCAGCCTTCCTCAGCCGCATGCCAGGGTTGCTTGGGGCGTGCGGCGTTGGAGGGGGACAGGTCAGCCATCCGCTGTGTTCTTGAGCTACCCCCCCTGTTGCACACCCACCCCAGCTTTGCCTCTTCTCCAGGGGCAGGAGGGGTGATGGCACAGGAGGACTTGGGTGCTGCACTGTCCTGCTCCAGCTCCTCACTTTGAGCCCACAGCAAGGAAACCAGTGGTGGGAAGCGAGATCACCCCACTGGAACAAGGTGGGATTGATCCTCATGGGGCACAGTAAATGCATGCTAAAAATATACACTCAATATTACCAGTGTCATTAAAATTTTACTGTAAATTGTTTGCACTATTAAAAGATTTTTCTTTCCCCCTCCCCTAAGCAATAGAAATAAGCGTGTGCATGTTTGTTCATTGATCTGTCAAGTTACAAAATACTTCTGGAGAAATATTTTGTATTATAGAAAAAAAGATTTAAGACAAACAGCAGTGCCTTAAGCTTGGGCTGTTGTTACATTCTGTGGTGATAAACTGGGAAGGATGCTTTCCTTTTGTACTTTCAACACCGTAATTAAATAAAACCTAGCTACTTTACTTAGCTGATCTCTCGCTATTAAAATTTAAAGATGGGTTAGGCTGGACCTTTCCCTACCTGAAAAGCACTTCATGCACATGGTGTTTACTGAGGCTAAATCAAGTAATGCCATGTTCAGAAAGCTCCTGCTCCAGCTGCATGTCGCTGTGTAGCCACGCATTGCTTGCAGAGTGCGATATGCAAGAGAATCTGGCCCTGCTCTCCCTCTCCCCACAGGAGTGGGCCGGCTGGGACATGCAGGGATGAGAACATCGTGCTGCAGTCAGGGGAGGCCATGGGCACTGCACTCTTACATCTTGCCGTGTTCCAAACACTCCATTTCAGAGTTTCTCAGTTTAGTTTACTTGGTAAAGAATTTATGCTTAACTATACACAGGAATATTTAGGGTTGGTAATATCAGCATTTCTGTACTTTTGTGTTCTTACTCATCTCTGTTTTAAAGAAATACAGTTCATCTTCAGGAAAAGTGTGTGCTGCTCTGCTATGTGTAGGATACCAAAACACAAACAAAAAGATACCACAGCATCATGTTACCATGAAAGCCAAAGCTTTATTTTGTGATCTACTGTATGTTACATTAACATGCTATGGATTTAGCCTTTGTTAAGGTGACGAGTTAAACTGTTTCTTAGCTCCAAACCCCAACAAATGTAGGGAAAAGCAACCAGTGGCAAGGGGAAATCAAGTGCAAGTGTAAACACTGTTCTAAGTTGTGTCTGTAAACTTCACAGAGGATAGAGAGTGACCTGGAATGCTTTAGTTTCATTGCATCATGCCAAGAGCAAGATTAAATGCAGAACTACCTATTTTAACTAGATTGTTCTTCCCTGTTTTCCTCTCCCGGATCGGGTAGTCCACAGGCGGCCTGTTCTGTCGCCAGGGAGGGTCCGATATGTTCCTTGTGGTTGTCAACTGCTCTGCCTCAGCTGTCGCCAAGGGCTGCTGGAAGAAACATCCCCATGTTTCTCTTCCCACAGGGTTGTAGGTGCATCCTTGGGGGAAATGCCACCAAAGGAAGGATAAATGGGGAGGTACTGATGTGGCTGTGACACAGACACACCAGAAGTAGTGGGTTTTCATCTCTCTGTCTTGTTCCTAGCAGGTGTATATCATCCAGAAGGGACTAAATAAAGGCTTACACAGTGAGCGCAGTGCTTACTAGATCAAGCAGCCCATTTATTGTTTGCCAGTCTGGAGCTTGGTTTCCCAGACCACATATGACTTGTACCAGGAAGGTGAGCTTCCAAGACAGTCCCCAAGAAGTTCTGCCTCTTCAGGAGTTTGCCTTCTTCTCTAGTCTGTGAACCACATGAAAGGCCTCTAAAAATTCATTGAAGTCAATGTGGCCATCTTTGTTGTAGTCTATGCTGAGGACTAACTTGTCAAGGGATTCATCACACATGTCAATGCCCAGGTGAGAAGCAAAGAGTTTCCATGTCTGGCCGAACTCCTCAAGAGAAATCAGACCTGAAGGAGACAGACAGCAGGTTGCTTTTCCCAGGGTGGTTTCCCCTTCCTGCACACACACAGGCACGCTTCTTTGCTGCAGGAAAGTTACCTGCCTATCCTGGCCTGGGTGCGTTTGTGAATTCATGACTCAAGTACATTTTACTTCACATAACGATCAAATGCTCTCAACAGCGAAATTGTGAAAGCAAATATGGAGAGTGAGAGTGGAAGGGAGAAAAAGCCCCCAGAAGAGTGAAGCCAGTACTGGAGATGGGATATGTGAGAATTTTTTCTCAAGTTAGGCTCTGTGCGCTGCCCCTTATATGGTTACAGCCTGACAGCTCAAATTAGTTTTCACTAAATTGGAAAAATGACATCACCTCTGCTTCCTCTATATTTAGAAGCCTTAAGGAGGAAACACAGTGGGAAAAGATAACTAGTACAGGCTTCCTGGAGCTGGTACAGTGAAGTTACCTCGACTTACCTGAGTGATCCTTGTCAATGATGTTAAAGATGATCTCCAGATCCTTTCTGTATCTGCACAGTGTTTCCACCAAAGCTGGCTGAACCTGGTTTTGAAATCACATACGGGAAACCATGCAGACCTTGGTTTGAGTTAGTCTAACCCACATAGTATGTACTGTCCAAGTCTATCTTCCCAGTTTAACTTGACAAATGTTTTAAAAATAAATCCTTATGCTTGAGTTCCCTGGAATGATACTTTGTGTCTTGCCCTGAGAAATAATCAGCTAAAATCTGTCACTTTCAGCTGGTAGGGCAGGGGGGGGAAGGAGTCCTTCACACCTCCTACCCTCAGTAATTTATTTGTGGAAGTACGGATCATCTAGGAAGGATGCTGTATGCCAGGCACTCACACAAAGATTTCACTGTATATATGGGAATGGACCCTGCGTTTTGGAAAAACGATGGCGACAGCCAAGTTCCAAAGCACTGGGTAACAGCTGGACTCTGTAGAAGAGACTTCAGCTACCATTAGACATCTAAAAGACCATCTACCCATGTGCCTCCCTCCTCCAGGTGCCTGAATTGGCTCTGGCGCACATCTGAAAAGCTGATCTCACAGAGTTGAGTTGCTCTGGGTAGGATTTGTCGCATCTCCTCAGCTATGTTATCTAAACGCCCTTGAGAGTCAACGGAAAGTAAGAAGCAGTGCTAGCATGTGATTCATCTAGCCTATTTTAAGCATCTACCTTAGCAGGGAATGATGATTCGTACCCCAGCAGTGCTCATTTCCCTCCAGTGACTATAAAAGGAAGCTCAGCAACTAGTTCAGCTGTAGACATCTACCTGATTGGCCAAACCCCTGTCTTTTGCCTCAAGTTGTACCAAAAGCTGTTCCTCCAAGATTTGCAAGGAGGCGTGTTCCTCCTTACCTGTTTTGTAGGTTGACCTATTTTCAAGTCATAGAAACATGACATGTAGTCAACTTCTCCATTTGGGGTCATCTGCACTAACTGTGCGCGCAGCATCCTCCAGGGCAGTTCCAGCTGTAGGACAGACTCCATGGCCACGGCCCAGTCACTGACAGAAATCCTGCCTGCCAGAAGGGGTGGGTTCGTGGTTACATGCGGTACGTGATGCAGACACATCAGTCACCAGCATGCCTTCTGCCCTTTTTAAGAATAGTTGCAAACAAACATTTTTCTCCTAACCCTGGGATAAAAACCCTCTTTAACAATGAACAGCAGGGTTGGACTAGATGTTTCTGCACCCTTCTAACCTCAGCAATTCTGTGATGCTATTGTGATGTTCAGCATGTTTTAATAACTTTTGAGAAAACCAGATTACGCCATGAAGAGTACTTCAGATGTGAGCTGAGCTGCAACTAGAGAGAGAGACATATGTGGCTGAGACCTCAACAAGACAGAAATGTGTTAAATGGTTGTTCAGTGCCCACAGAAACAGTACCATCACGTTACTGATTGTCCTTTTAGGGGCACAGATGACAGCCCAGTCAAGTGGGAAGCCATCAGCTCCGTGGTCCTACCAAAAAGGTTCAGGTATCAATTTACCGCTGACTTTTCTTCAGCTGATGGGCGAGTGTGTGTCTGCTAGTGGCACAGCCAGTCAACTTCCCTCTGGTATCTCCCAGACTCAGAAGGAGACCAGTTCCCCTGTCACCTAAGACCCTAGATCCCTGTCTGACATCTTCTGAAGACACTCCTAAGTGAAGGTGGTGACTTTTGAGCTTCTGGAGCTGGATTAGCCTGCCCAAACTCTCTGCCCAACAACAAACACCATTTCCTTATTTGCCCACGTGTTTCAGTTGTTTTCTTCTTCCCACTTAAAGCTTCATCCCCTCAAGTTGTCTTCTGAGGCTAAACACTTGCTAACACCTATCCTCCAGGAAGAACATAAGATCAACCAGCCCCTGCTGCCCTCCATCATTACACTGGCGGGCAGGACCCCCTCCATAGGGTTTGTCCCCTCTGCCCCCTGTCACATGGAAGCTGTTATCCCTATGGTGGCAACTAGAAAGAGCAGCAGTGTTACCTGTGTTGTTGAGGTCATACTGTGCAAAAGCACTAGTGAGTTCAGACCTGTAAGCATAGATCTTCTCTCGTAAGGACTTTAAGGCAGATGATTCAATTGTACCCACCCTGGGAGGAAAAAAATGCACAGCAGATCATTAAAGGCTTTAAATCCTCTAGCATGTTATGCTTTTCAACATTCATTATCAAATTCTTGCACCCTTTAACATGTAGTATGTTTAGGGTCATGCTAAAAGACAACACTGGGGCAGGAAAAAAAAGAACAAACCAACAGAACAAACAGCCCCATAAGAATAACCTGAACTTATGAGATAATTGAGTTTATGCAGGTAATTCTAAGCTGCTTTGCTTTAGTAAATCTGAGCGCAGTGCAAGGCATGGCAAAGCTGTCATGATAAACTTTTTGGATTCCGTTCATAACAGGATTTGTCCAGATTAACGTTGAGCCTTAAAGCAGACCTGACTGACAGGCGCAGGCCCTTTATGAGTCCCTGACAATCGTCTGTTCTAACCGCTTACTGCGCCTAATTACCTTTGGGAGTTTCTCAGGAAACCAAGTTAGAGCACTTAGAACATGTTTTGTCTACTGCATTAATTTTTAAATTGTAAAATAGAAAACCAAGGAAAATCAAGGAAAGTAGATGCCTATTCAATTATTCAATCAAGCTGTAGATCTGTCGCAGGTACTCGCATGCCGAGTACATGCTCACTGTGTACAACACACAGCTTTACCTCTCCTGAAGATTCTGCCTGCGTGTGTACTTGCTGACTTGATACTGTACGAACCGAGGAATCAGTTCAGGGTTCAGTTTGATGTACGCTCCCCGGTTGCTCCCTTCTTCATAATAGTTAGAGGCAGAAAATATAGTGATAACCTGATCATAGGAAACAAAGAAACTTGGCTAGAACAACTCTTCGTAAGACTGATCTTAGAAGGTGACATTAGGTGTCTACATCTAAAACCAGAGATCAATATCTATGTTGTTCACCAAATCACTCACACTTTTTGAGTCAGAGTTCCAGGCCTGTATTTTGGCCTGTCATAGGAAGGCATCAGTTCAGAGGACAGTGTGAAACAACATGCTGCTTAACAGAAACCTCTAAGACAGACCTGTTTTTCAGGATTCTTGCTAGCCTCCTGACAGAGCATGTCAGAAAGCAGGGCCAGAAGAAAAATTATTAAGTCAAAAAGCTTCTAGAGCCTTAGAGCTTCTCTTGCACTGTATTTACATGTAATTCTCCTCAGGGATTCTGTTGCTCATTTTTTTTTTTTACACAAGTAATAAGTCAGTCCCCACTCCCTGAAGCTGTAAAGAATTTTTTCAGAACTCCACAGTTTGTTCTAATATCTATCTAGCACACAATTCCCCCAAGCCTATTTTAAAGAAGTTGCTCTTTTTTTTTTAATTAGCTTTGCAGACAAATCTACTGTGGATGTGCCTGTGAAATTCACAGGAAAATTCTACTTTACATGGAAGCATCTTACCTTCCCATCGTGACTGATCTCATAACCTTCCGGCTTGAATTCATGAGACCGGATGAGCATCTTCAGATTATACCTTTCAAACAGCTTGGCAGTGACATCAGGACCAAAGTAACAACCTCCTCCTCGAGACTTGTTTGGTGTACAGCCATTTTGGCTTCTTGGATCACTCCAGAGAATGTCAAGCATCTGTAAATAGCAAACTCAAGCAAGTGACGACTGATGGTAGGTGAGGACTGACAGGTTATGGCTGTCTAAAATACTGCCATAGCAAAAGCCCCACAATACAGGGAGGAAACACACCTGAGCTAACAAGTAGAGCTTGTTTTTTCTTCCTTCCTTTCAGCAGGACACTCTTTTGGGCTGAAACTTTTGTTCTACTTTTCTTAAGAAAGATTACCTAGATTTTGCATGAACTTTTTTCAGATTAAATGTCATTTCAGAAATGTACCTCCTTTTATAGCAGAGGTTTCCAGACTTGGGTAGGCGCATCAGGTATGATACCTGGGCTATTTCAGTGAGAACAAAAGCTTCCTTCTTCATGTGTAGGTGTGAGAGGCATTTTCTATTTCCCAGCATGGACCTGATAACACATGGTTTGGTGGTTTTACCTAAACTAAGCTTGGGAGTGTCTGCTCTAAACATGACAAGGCTTTATTGCCTTCAGTTAGTTCATGTTTCAAACCCAAGATTTTACAGATAGTATTTTAGCAGGATTCAGACATGGGGATGAATTGTCATGGTGTGAAGTCACCTAACCTAATAATTTTAGTCAGTAGCAAACATTAGGCAAAATGTGTGTGTTTAAATGTCACTGGACGAGGTTTACACTAACACGTTCCACGTTGTGAGTGTGGTTCAGCAGATGCTTGGTTAGCTGGATAATGTCAGATTGGGGGGGGCGGGGTGTGTGTGTGTGTGTGTGTTGTTGCTTGTGCCTGTTATGTTAGTTTGTAGGTCAGATAGGTATCTTGGGAAATAATTTCAGAGACTGATTTGCTTATCAGAAAACAAAAGAAAACTCTCTGCCCCTTAAAGCAGTTGTCTGAAAAGAAGATTAGAAAAATAAGTTTATAAAACTCAATTTTGAGCTTCTAAATTGCTGTGCAAATTAAGCTTTTCAAATTGTCACAATTTATTAAATTACAATATGACAAGAACTCTATATTGCTTCTAATATTCAAGAGGAAACGAACAGTCAGAGGACAAAAACTTCCCTCTTTTCAGTAATCGGCCTGTAGGTATCAGGAGCTGTGGTTTTTTTGGATAGTATCAGCATTCAGCTGCCAAAACCACAGCCAAAAAAAGGTGCTCAGTATCACCAATGACTGCGAAGTCTGACCTATTTAAACTGACAACCACGTATGTACCAACAGATCCAACCACATGAGGGCATGCAAACACATTCCATACTGAGCAGTTCCCTCCTCCTAACAACTAAGAAAAGAAAACACTGAGTAAATTGTACTTGTAAGGTATAAAACCACAAGCCTTTATTACCAGGTCTACAAAAAGCATCCAAAGAACTAATAGCTGACTAGAAACCCAAGTGTAACAGGTTTATGAGACAGTCCCATCAGACTCAAATGTACTGTCCTGAACAGAGCACCTGCTGATTTTGTGCAGGAGGAGTTTGGTATCAGTCTGTCTTTGGTTTCACCTACCTGTTTCCACTCCTTCAGGGCGGGGTCCTGAGGCAAATTTGATCCCGAAGGCTCAGTGGAGCCCGATGAAGAGATGTGTTGTGTTTTCCCTGCAACATTCTGGTTTGCAATGTGTTTACTGAGTCTGGTTGTGGGAATTCTCTCCTTCAGTTGGTCCTGTCTGTCTCTCACTGACTTTGGTGGCCGCATCAAAGATTTCAACTTTAAAAAAACCATACATTTCCAAGAGTTACCAGAACATAAAGATGATACAGCAATGTCAGCTGAAAGGTACATCAGTCTCTGTTTCCTGTACTCAATACTGAACTCTCATAATGTCCTGAACTCACAGGTTCGGTGGAAGGTGCAGGTATTTGGCAAGGGCAGAAATTTTGCTTTATATCTATCAGCGACCAGCCTTTTCAGAGCTGCTCTCATATTGTTATCCAGACACACAGACTCATTGCAAGCCACAGTCAGTCGTAAGGTCTCAGTATACAGCAAGTACGGTCTGGGCTCAGGGATGATCTTAAGTGCCCAGCTTCACTGGAAACTGAAAATATACATGTATACTGTGCTGAAAATGAAACTGCATTCACTACTCTTCTGATACAGTAGCATTAGGCTAGGTTAATTTGGCTAAAATAAATGGAATATTAGGAGGATAGCAGTGAAATTGAGGAAGTATTACATCAGGCCCTCTTACTGTTAAATCAACCTTCCTCCAATATGCACGGGTATTTGCTTTTTTTGGAGCTGTGTGCTATGGCTCCAGGAATGCCTGTTAATACAGACTCTTCTCCAGGCAGTATCTCTTCTCATTCAAAATTTCCTCATACTAGCTCATTTCTAGAGCAAAAAACAAAAGCAAAAACAAAACACCCCACCCCTCACCCCAATTCTACTCTTTAACAAAGAAAAGTACTGATGCAAAACAAAATGCAAAACACTGGGTTACTCCCCAGTGCACTGACTGGTATTTGAGACCTGTCAGTTGTCAGCTGTACCAATTAAAATACATCAGTTGGCCTCGAGTGATACTGCCCTGAGTTATGTCCCACACATGTCTCATTAGCAATGCTCTCCCATGGCAGCAACTTTGACCTGTTAATTCTGCATTTCACAGACAACTGCATCAGTAGCACACTTGAACCCAGCCTTGGTGAAAGCGTGGGCAGAACTCCTCTCACAGTTAAGACACCCATATCTGTAGTTAGACACACAATTTTAGTGTACAGTGGTACAGCCAATGGAGCCTAGACTTCAATGGCCGGAAGTATGCATTGCCCTTTTTCACATCATTAAGGAACAGGGATAGACCTGATTGTCCTGTAAAGCATTTATTTCTGCATTAGAAAACAGGAGGATGAGAGAAATAGCTCTAGATTCTACAGACACTAATGACAAGGTACACAAGGTGGCTTAAATATAGCTATCATGTGTCATCTGGGATGCTCTACCATATCTGTGAATTTGCATGAGGTGGGGAGGTATGAATCAGACCCAAAGGCGACCAGTGGAGGAGACCTGCGAAGACGACTTTCTCCAGAGGCAGGCAGAGGCCAGAGGGGACACCCTACAGCACTGGAGACTTATGCCTGAGCAGTTACAAGACCTGGATGTCCACCAAGTCTCCCGGATCTCCACTGGATACACAGAACCTCAGCACTCAGATCACAAGCAGACATCTCGAGTTAGTTGTCCAGATCAAATTCCACACCATTTTCCACTGATTTGAAAGAGCTGCATTTGCTTGCCATTTCAGAAAAAAGTAAACATTTCTATCTTCTAAATCCGTGAAAAGTAGTAGCTGCTGTTTTCTCAAGGCCTGGTCTTGAAGTTTGATCCACTGGAAAGGCTCTGCCACATGTGCAAGGCTCAGCTGCTGCCAAGGGACCACCTCACAGGTGGAGAACATCCCACGCACAACAGATGGCAGAAGCACAGCCCCGGGACAAAAGGCAGGGTTAGAAAGATGTGCCTACACCAATTTCTAAAGTGTTTAGAAATGCCTGAGAATTAAGTACTTTTCATAGTTCCTGGCTAATGCGTCATCACTGCAGGTATCTAAAGTGTTTTTAGATACTTTAAAGTCAAGAGACCCATGTTATTTTACAGCAGCTAAACAATTGGCTCCCAACACCTACTGAAACTTTCCCTCCTAAACACCAATTTTGAAGAAAAACAAAACTCTTTCCTTACATGTCTTACACAGCAGCCATTTCCTCTCCTAATGAAAACAATTTGATCTTAGCATTTGTACTGCTAAATATTTTAAAGAGAAATTTACCCCCACATGAATATGATTTCTTACCTTACTTCTCTCAAGTGCATTCAGGAAATCCAAATCTGTGGTGTCTGAAATCCCTCCATGTAGGATGAGAACTTTGCTATCAATTATAGTGGCGAGGGGAAGCCAACTAAAGACGTCTCGCAGAAGACACAAAATCAGTTTGCCGTGGTCCTGTAAAACATACTCTTAGATCCTGTTTCTGGCAAATTCTGTTGCTTCTAAGTTCAAGATTCTGCTGAAGTGTCTGCCATGGTCTGAACAGTTCCGTCCAGGTGACACCCTGAACTGCAACACTGACAAACATTTATTTCAGGACCATTTGATTGTCTCTGTGGCATTTTGTTCTTCTTTCACATTCACGACTTTTTGTTCTTGAGTGGCCTTATGGATGTTATTTCATCCCATAGATCTCTGAACATAAAAGGCTAACACTTAAAACTGTTTTGTCAGTTATTCCATTGATAATCCAAAATAATATCAACTACATTACTAAAGTCATGCTGTACTACACCTAAATAAACTGAAGTTTCCTTGTTTACACAGGTTTCTTTTTAAATGTGCTAGATTACAAAGAAAATATACGGGAAGGAGGAGGAATCTTACCTTGTACTTCTTTGAAACTTCTTTTGTGAAGCCATATCTGAAAATAGGACAGCACCATTAACTGGTTTTCAGTATGCCCCTTCTGCATGATTTTCTGTGCTATAGCGTTTGCCAGGAGTCTCCCAGCCCTCTTTTTCTCCTGCCATTCTGTCTTACCTTAGTTTAAATGCACATTCTTCTGCTCTGTCTCAAGAATTGGGTTAAACTGGTTTCTTGTACATACAAGAAATCAAGAACAGAATCCAGACCAATAATTATTTAGTGGCCTTTTCTCCATCTAAATGAAATAGCTCAGCAGTTTTAGATGCTCCCACAAAACCTCCATAGAATTTTTGTCCTAAATCATTCAACATTATTAGACAATGTTTCCCTGACAAGGCACAAGGGTTTTGATACCTGTACCTCATTCTTTTAACACGAAGATATCCTTGGATCAGGGACATTTTCACAACCCCTTAACTCTCACCTTTAAATTTACCAATGCGCAGCACTGCTAAGAAAAATGCCCAGCAAAGAGCCATACACAGGAATGCATCTTTGCAATCAATACCATCACAGATCTGGTTACTATTTTCCACTATTTTGTGTGGGAATTTTCGTATCTTGTAGATAAATTAACTGATCTTGGTTTATGGTTTGGGGTTTTTTTAATTAAGTGCTGAAAAAGGAAGTATCATGTGAAACTGATCCTCTTAGGTGGATCATTAATAGGATTTGAACATGGACCTCTAACCCAGGTTTTGTTATGTTTGTGTTAAAACAACAATATAGTCTGTGTGCATGCATCACATGATAGAAGGGGTAAAACAGATTACCCACCAGACAGACACCCAAAGACTTAATGGGGCAGTTTAGAATTGTAGAGACTAGGACCAAGGACAACTTCTCACGTCTGTGAGAAAATTTTGACTACAAGTCATACTTTCACTACAGCCAGAGACAGTAGCTGTGCTCACTCCTTTGGCAGCACTGTACAGCTGAGTACAGATGTCTGTATCAGAAAACAGACAAAAACCTGGCTGTTCCTGCAATGGGGCAGACTGCTACCTCTCAGCTAATAGCCCTCCACTGTGTAGAAGCCAGGATATTTACCTGCCTCTCACATTTGGGAAGTGGCATCTTAGGCTAAAGTTAACTGAAATATCAGCTCCTGATTTACTGGTTTCATTATATTGGACATTATCATGTCTTTTGCTATGCTATGGAAAAAGCCATGCTTTAACTAAAATATCATCCTTCCATCTGTCCCCCATCCCCAGATTTGATACTCTGGAAGCTGCACTAAACCCACTGACTTCAGTGGTTTGTGATTAGGTCAGGGGCAAGATGACTCCTTTCTGTGTGCAATGAGGATGTTCTTTGCCCACCTCACACATCCTGACGATGCAAAGCTACACCTGAATACCTAATAAAACATTATTTCTCTTTTAGAGTGTCACAGTGCCTAAGTAGCATTCCAAAGCTCCAGTGTTTCTAGTGAAAAGCCAGATACTCCCCCTTCTCCCATCCCCCCAAATCTACCTCAGGTTCATGATGTAGTCTTCATGGTTTCCTCTATTCAAGTGTAAATCATTGGGGTAGATAAGAAGAAATGCAAACAGGATTATAAGTATTTCCATAGAATTTTTCCCTCTGTCAACAAAATCACCATTAAAGACATAAGGGTTTTGTTCTGAAGGCAGACCGTTCTGCAGAAGGAAACAAAAACAAGGACATTTAGAGACACTGCTATCCTACTGTAATAAAGGAAGTAGCATTTAGATGAGATCACATTGCTAGAAAATCTGCAAAAAAACTTGCATAATACAGAGATCTAAAATGTAGCATTTCTTTATTTCCACTGCTTAGAATAAACCTCCTTATCAGACAACCTGTATGAACCATCAGAGAAGAGATGACCTCTCTAGCTGTTCTTATGATGCCATCTCTAATCCTTTCCTTTACCTATTAAATTAAATGGAAAGGGAGGAAAACAAACATTATTCTTGTAACAAAATATACGTTTCTGTTAATGCAACTGCTGCCAGGAAGTTAAGCGTTTGCAATTAGGAGTCATTCATTTTGAATGGAAGACAGGAAATCCATGAGAAATTATCTTCTGACACAAGTCTGAAGGTCCTTATGTTTCCTTACACAGTAAGAAAATGGATTTCATATATGTATGCTTCCAAAACTCCTGAAAAAGACTCTGATCCAGAGGACATAAAATCTTAATACGGAACTCTGACAAACTTGATTCCAGTTTCTTTAATCCTGAAAACACTACTCAAAAGCTCACAAACCTGAGAAGCTGTACATACAGGTATTTCTTACTTTATTTTTTTACTAAAGATATAGAGCAATGCTGTATTATGAATGGTGATTTATCAAAAGCTAGTATTCTGAATTGATGCTATGTTTCATTAGATTAGTTATCAACACATCAATGGGTGCCATCAGATTACAGAAAGTATAGCAGCAACTATATGTAGCTTCATCATTTCCAATCAGGAGTATCAGAAATATTATTTCAGTATTGACTTGCCAGAAAAAGAAAACCTCTGTTTTCACAATTGGCATGCGCAAGAATTATCAATAGAACATCTATAAAATCACATTACACTGTGGAAGCCACTCTTGACAGTGTCTGGCAGCAGTGCAAGACATCTCACTGCCTGAATATAACTACTACATCAGTGTCCAGCATTTCCTATGTCCTTATGGCATTCCCTGGTGTACTGCTTTAGCAAGTTTACTGCGGGATGCATGATTTGGCCAGGGACTCAATTAAACAATTAATTTGAATCCATCGGGAAATATTTTTTTTGTCCCAGTCAGCATCCTGTGCTGTTAGGTCAGGACGCAGCAGTGAATCCTGGTCTCGATTTGTACAGAGACACAATCCTGACTGCTGTAAATACAGCTTGCTTGGTTTTTGCCATAGCCTCTACTCAGCTCTCTCAAAGTTAATTTACAAGAGGCCTGTGGTTGCTCTGCACTCACAAGAGTGGTAACTTAAGACACTCTGCTAATGTAGTAGCTTGTAGTGATTTTAAAAAAGAAAGGACGGATTTCAGGAGTGAAACAGGCAGGAGAGACTCAGCAGCAGCTCCTGGAAAGATGAATTAATAAAAGCTTCGCCTTAAAACCAATAGGCATGTGAATTACCTGCAGATTGTCAGCATACACACAGCCGCTCTGTGGAAAGACAGATCTACTGAAGCACTCTGCAGACTATCATTATTCTTTTGGAAAAGCTGACCCACAAGTTTTAGTTTTAAATGAGAGTTTGTTTTGGACTTCCAACTTCAGTGTGACATTTTTGTTTTGTTCCACACTCATGAAAAGTTTTTATTTCTTTTTCTGTGGTTTCAACCAACAATAAGAGCAGAACTAAATTAAAGGCTGTTGCAGTCTCTGACATGTCAGAGTCAAACAAGGCCCTCTAATGATTAGCAACTTGCTGCTGGGCATTGTTACTGTATCTGCTGGGTTAGTGATTAATTAACTGCCGTTTGTTGTTTGCACTTTCTATAGCTTCAGGCAATTTCTATCCATAGCATCTATTTAACAATCTAATTTAGCAATGCACAATTTAAAATTCAAGGGTTTCAAGGAATTTCAGGAAATGCTTTAATTTAATGGAGGTTAATGCAGGGACTGAATGAACCTTACAAACTGGCTATTGAGAAAAAAATAATTATCTTAGCCTTACCCAAACCAGGTTTAGGAATTATACACACTATTACAACCAGCGTTGTATCGATAAGCTGTAGATTGCTGGCTTCTGTGTGTTTGCCGCTGGTGGTTTGTAAAAGTGCTGAGATAAAAGTCCCCTGGACAGAGCCCCATGCTCAAGGTGTCTGGTCTGCATGCAGGTCTCCAAAATGCTTCAGCAGCCATTTCAGCTCTGTGCAGACCTGAGATCACTACACTCCTCAAGGCACTGTTTAGGATTGCACCCTCTTGTTTAAGTTACAGGAGGAAGAAATACCTTCCAACTGAAATAGAGTTAGGGAAGCAGAAAAAATGGATCCCAGAGTCTGACTGGGTTCACTGCTTGGCTGAGTAAACTGCTCAGAGGGGACAGAAAATACTGTGTCATTTAATTTGCTTCTGAGTAACTAAGCAGCTCTATCATGTGCTCTCTATTTTCTCAATTACTTTGAAATAACAAAATATTTGTCCATTTCATTTGGTTTGGTGGAAGGATTCCCCGAGAAGCTTAACAGAGAACAACAGGGGTAAACTCTAGTCCCTGAAGTCAGTGGGAGTTTTGGCTCTGAATTCACCAAAGTCAGGATTTAGTCCTTGCTTTAGAGTTTTCTTCTCTTTGAAACATCTACTGGAGAGGGGAAAAAGAATCACCTTCTTTTTACTTCAAAAGAGTAAAATTTAGGCTGATTGCAGTTTTAAATACAACTATAGCTGAGCATTTATCTTCAAAATAGTTCCATTTCCCATTCCAGGTCCTGTGGGACCTTATTTCACTTTCAAAAGAAAGATTGTCTCATTAAAATAACAGCTAAAAGGCTGCAAGCCAAGGACCAGCTAAATGTCACTGACTGATTAATAAGAAAAGCAGAACTCTGCAAAAAGGTCTGACTGTACTTCAACAGGCTTCAGGTATGTACTTGGGCAAAACAACCAAGTTTCCATTCAACAGGTGTCAGATAAAATGTAACAAAGTTGGGAGCAGGAGGAATTGAATCATTTAAACACCTGGTTTAGCTTACTTCAGTCTCCATTCAGTGTAGATGAATGTATAAGGATCAGACACAAACCTTTTCCCCGGAAAGCTCAAATCACAGACAGTGTCTGCTAAAAGAAAGGTGGTGATTCATGCTAAAGATAAATGTGAAACTAAATACAGGAAATTTCCCACAACTTCAGTTAAATATACAGTTGTGGAAAAGATAGCCTGCAGCTTAGGTTTTTTTTCACATCAGTAAAACAGAGCTATGATTTTTAACATTAAAAAGTGAGCAAGGATATGTAAAGGGTGCACAAGGTATTTCCATTTTGTGCAGACTATATGATTGCTTCCAAGACTTAAAAAGCTTTTAAACAGCACTCTTTTTTGTTTCCTGTAAACAAATACTAATAAAAACTTTGTAGGTATCAATGGAAGGCCTAAATGAAAGCTTCTGCATTTTTTCTGGAGGGCCAAAATTATTCATGGTGTAGTGTTACATCAGGAACTAAGTTAGCTCCTGATTTTTGAAGACTTTAGTCAATATGGAACATAAAACAGTGGCAGGACTTTGGAGACATTGTGAGGAAGCCTCTTAAGTTTTGGTTCATGCTCCAGTTCAACGTTTAGGAAGAGAAAGATCTCCCGGATGTCCTCCTTCACAGTGAGCAGGAGGATAATGAGAAGCCAAAGCTATGACAAAGACACCATTCAAATTGTTCCAGGATTTGTGTGTGTGGTACATGCACACCACACGTACAGTTCTAACTGTGACAAATCTGTCAGACATAAATACATGTTCCTAACAAGTTGTGAAGTGAAAATGCCACATCACAGGTATCACTTACCTTATAGAATATCAGCAAAAGATCATCCAGGTTTCCATGCAAATCTCCTACAGGAAACAAAAACATTATTTTCTTTTTTTTATTTTATTTTCTCACAGAGGAGGAAAAAAATTGAATTATAAAACTGGAATTAGTTAGTCTTAGCAAGTTTTTCCCCATGTTTTCCTTAGTAATTTGCCTTGTATTAGGATTAGCTTCATTTTAAGGTACACGCTAAAGATGCTTGTAAAATCTGGCAATTAAATACTTAAAGAGTATACAGTTGTCTTGCATAAAGTTTTTGTCTTTCCAACTGGATCTGAAGATTAGACCAATCACACAGCCAAAGGTTCACTCAGGAAATGGGAGTAAGATAAACAAATGTATTATGAACCCAAAACCCAGAAAACATCACTAAAAGACATTTAGAAATATGATAGACTTCTACAAACTAACATGTTTGAATTTACTACGTGGCCCACTATATACAGCACACCTGAACATCTGTCCGATACAGGGCCAGCTTTTGATTATTACAGGCAGGATTTGGAGAGTGTCAAGAACTGTCCATGCTTGTATGCATCAATGCTAAGGCCACAGGAATGACTGATCTGGCCCTTTCCAAGAGGTTTATTTGACACAAGCAGGGGGATTTCACTCCAACACAAAGGATCATCACTGCAGCACAGCTCCCCTCTGCATATGACTGAACTGTATGCTCACATAACCAACATCTGTGACTCACCGCCACAAAGCCACAGAACAGTTTCAAAACCTATCTTGTGCTTTCACACCCCCAATGATTAGGAAAAAAGAAATGACATTTTTACCCAGTCTACATGGTTTATGTGCAACTTTTCATTAATTATGAGCCTGCTGAAGTAATTCTAAGGAATCCTTCAAGTTATGATAGATTTTCATCACATATGTGGATGCAAACATTTCAGGTGTGTATTTAATCTGTATCACTAATTTGAAACTAAAAGAAAATGGGGAGAGGGATAACTTATTTTAAGAAAATCAGCATTTTGGACTAATGTCTAAAAATTGGTCTTTCATCTTCTGCAGAGGATTCTTCTGGTTACAAAAGCTATTAGTTTCAATAGCAGGAAAAGGACCTGTTTAGATGCTGCTTACATAGTGCAAATGCAATACAAAAATGAAGAAGTACATTTTGCTTAGTAAGAACATGCTGTGTCATGAACAAGTGTGAATCTGTGTTTCCTTGGTTTGGAGAGAGGTTCTGTTGGTTTGCTTAACAAATTATTATTTATACAAAGCCTCATTTAAACAAACCTGTTCCTGAAAATCAAAGTAGGTGCATAACCACATCTTTAAAAACATTGTTTTGCACGTGTCATAGTATCCTTCCTTATACCACTTTACACACAGCACACATTGCTAGCTGTCAAGAGTTAACTGTTCTGTTTTGCAGCTACTTCATTCTCTGGCCAGTGAGGATACTGCATCCCTTTATCCATAATTTACAAAAGTCTAGCAAAATAGATGGGCAATGAGCTCTTGGTTCTTTACCTTGTGACACATCACATCATTCTGTGAGACTAACTTGTTGGTTGTATAAAGACTGATCCATATTCTTGGGTTCCTTCAGAAATAAGGGTTTATTATACTTTCAATTTATTCTAGATAGTGATGCTGTCAATGAAAGGTCTTGTTTGCCACCCCTACTAAGCCCTCATTAAAATCATGACTGAATAAATTATGATGGTAAAGCCTTTTTCTCAGTAAGAGGAGAAAGTAGGGAGACTTGCAGCCAGTGATCAAAATACCTGTTGGTATTTTAGAGATGGAAATGCAGGAATATTTAAGCTACTCTGCAGTGTTACCTGAATTAATACTGCCTCATTCAGAAATGTTTAATGAGAAAATGAAAGAGGAGGTGAGGGACTTTCTTAAAATACATTTAGTGTGACTCAGGAACCTTTTTTTTTAAATTATTTGTTCCGGGGGGGGGGGGAAGAAGGGAAAAAAAAGCATCGAGAACTTTCTTGTGATGGCAACATTTGGAAATATCTGCATCATTCTCTAACCACTTAGAATACCAACCCATAGCCCAGAGCAGTTATCTTCTCTGGTGCCTTACCACAGACAGTTATCTCCTTGGAGTAGGAAGTTGAAAGATGGGTGATATTTGGCATCTCCTTGAGAACCCTCCTAGTTTCACATAGCAGCTGCAGTACATAGCGAGCATGAAGCAGCTGTGAGAAAACAAATGCATGGAGAAAAAGAAGACTTATTAGAAGCAGCAATATGTCTGTCTGCTGTATTAATATCAGACATATATTGCCAAGATTATTTATACTACAGACCTCCAGACATGATTACAGACTGTATGGTTTAGTCCTGGGAATTAGGAGTGTTCAACTCTGCACTTGCTTTCCAGTGAATGAATATGGAGCCTGTAACGAATTTGCTTTATATATTTTCCCATTTTATTTCTAGTGTACTGTTTCTACTCTTCCCATCTACAGAAAGGATAAAAGACTGGGTTATACAGCACTCAGATAATCATTGCACAAGCTCATCTGTTAAAAGTAACTGGAAGAAAAAAAAGGATGCAGTTCTAGCTGTGAGTAAAAAATAACAAAACCACAAATCAACCAAAAAAACCTCAAAGGCTTTCCTGAAAAAAATTTCAGGAAATTGCAAAAATAATGAGAGGGAAACTCCAGCAAGGCTTGCCTTGGTAAGAGTTATCTTCCTGCTCACTGTGAAGATGTTATGACAATGCAACATTGAAGCTTCTGGTCTTCTCTGCTAATGGTTTTACGAAAATTTTGTCAGTCAGTGATTTTTAAGGCTTTTAATTCAAACACATCTCCGAGGAAATTTAGTAGAGGAGACAAATGAGCTACAGACTGACTTCAAGATTCATGTTTATAAAGCAAACAAAAAAAGCCCATTACATATAATAATTTCCTTAATAAAATGCCAACCATAGTAAGAAAAGAGAGAGCTGACAGTATGGGGAAGTCTGGGTGGCCTCATTTATCATGTGCTTTATATTTTGCTACTTTAAGATCAGCCTCCACATAAAATTACAGAAAAAAGCCCCAACCACTTTTATTTAGTACATTAAAAAGCAATATAGACCCTTATCCTTTATATACATTACCATTATCCTTTATATATTGTTAAGCACAAATGACCACAAATTCAAACAAAGCTGTGCCTTCCCTCATCTTGTAAGAGGTCAGCAAAGGGGCTTGCTCAGGAACACAAGAGAATCAGCAAAAGCCTTCTTAGTGCCTTGGCAGCTGCAGACAGCAAGCTCCTGAGATTTGTGCTACCACCCTGTTCTACTATATTAATGATGCTTTATACTCACTCTCCCATTATGGTGGTGTCTTGCACACTGGAAAGAGGTGATTAATCCTTACACCTCAACTCCTCTAAAAAGAATGGGTGGGGGATAAATAAAAAGGACCACATAAGGAGCACTTTTAATGCAGATAAAGTTGATAACTGGTTTCTAGGTTACCTTAGGACACCTTCCCCAGTCCTTCACCCTCACTGATAACTCCTGCTTTACAGCTTCTAAGGGTTCCCCATTTCACGATCACTGTAATCCCAGTGCTAGAGGATAAGGTCCCCACCAGTCTCTGCCCTCTCCCCAGTGCTGGCTCTGGTGGTCATGCAGCTAAGTAGTGAATCAAATCTGGGAACTGGTCTGGCTGAGAACTGACTGCTTCTGATTTTGTTGAGTTAGCTTCCAGCCAGATCGATTTCCCAAGACAGTTCACCTGTATGATCACATGGGGCTAGCAGGAAAGGGTAACGGGATGGAAAAGAAGGGTGAAATATCTCTTCAGGCATCAGTTTAGCCTTACATTGGATTCAACTGATTGTGGAGCTACAATTCAACATAGATGTAAAATAAGTAAAAAGAAATCAAACTAGTTGCAACTTACCTGTTCATTCCTGAAAGCATGCAGAAGAGCATTGGCATCTTCAACAGTAAGGGGGAATGAGAGTCGTGGTCCATAATAGGAGTCTGGAACATCAATTTTATTTTCAAATTCTGTCAAAGATAAGCCTTCATCCACAACCTGAGAAACACCAGGGCTGGTGAGAATGTGAGAAACTGGAACAAGAGGGAAGAAAAACAGTGATGTAGACACTCCATCAGTCCCCCACAGGGCTGTAACAGCATGACCAGAACTGATTGAATGTAACTGATGCTTTACTTGCTGCAGGATTAGAGTGGCTAAATCCTGCCTTGTATTATGAAAAAGCTCCAGGTCTCCCCAAATTGTTTCACAATACTAAAAAAAAAAAACCCAAACAACCAAAAACCAGGCAGAAAACAACCAAATGAAAAAACAGGCAAAAAACTCTGTCCCAACAGCCAGTAGCTGTGGTCAGGACGCAAAACATTTTGCACTGAAGTTGTGAAGCAATCTGCTCTCATAGGTAGTGAGAAACAAAATCTATTGCAGACTTTCTTCTCCTCCCCCCACAAAGCAAGTAGATTCAAAAGTCAAGGCTGATCATTCAATGACCATCACCTGTTTAAAGTTCAATATTACAGTTTTAATACAGGTTTTAAAGATTCACTTTCTATTGCTTTTATTTTCTACATAAAAGTTTTAGGCTAAATACTAGCAGGTCAGTGATTATTCAAAAAGTCATGAAAAAAATCCTATTTATTCACAGTGGATTGCAAAGCACTCCTTTCTGACATGACCAGGAGACAATGCCTGCTTTCGGTTGACTGCCATAAAACCACTGGATGAAATAAACAAAAACACTGCAGTAAAGTAGAGCACAGCTTCTAATTTTCCTGGAACACAGAGGAAGAAGGAACATTGCTAATTGTTTCAGTCCAATATTTTCTTGACATACCCCTGAAATGTAACTGAGTGAACAGTAGATTTCAGTGTTTTCTTCTTGCAGATTGTCTTTATCATGCATTATTCTAAAAGAGAATACCAGACCCTAGAGGACAGTGTTCTGGAACCTGCTGTTTGCAGAGTTGCTCTTGTGAGATGATTGTTGTAAACAAAGTTGCTGGGCTACAGGTAAGTTTTCTGTAACCTTGATTAGATGCAACTGGAAATAAAAATGTATTATTTATTGCTGGAGGAATACCTGTGGCTGTGACTCAAAACTCACAGTGGCTAGAACTAGCATGTGGCCTCATAAATTATGAGACTCATAAAGGCCAATTTCTCTTATAACTGGATAAAATCCATATTAAGGAAACAGATAAAGATACACTTTTTATCAGCTCTGGATTAAAAAAACCCCCACCTTTCTTTATCAGCTCATCTGTTGTGAGCTGATTAGCACATTCAGTGTACAGCCATGTAAATTAATTAAGGCATCAAGTAACAGAAAGGTGCTCAGGGTTCATCTTTTCCACCAAGTACAGTCTGTTTTGCAGTCTTCCACCACAGTAACAGCTTGTGTGGCCAGACGCCAGATCATCACCCATGGACTGAAATTGCTGCTTCCCACATGCTGATCAGCCAAGCACATCTGCACCAAGTCTTGGCCCAGCTCTAGGAGCAGGTCTCTGGACGGCACTTCCCTCTGTGCCACACTTCTCAGGAAGTGGGTGGCTGCAGAGCACAGAGCCAGTTCCTCAGACCACTCCAATTCCTCATTGCTTGCCTGTTCTATCCAGAGGCTCTCCTCACCTGACACAACGCCTTCAGGGTCACTGGTCTCCTCAGCATTTCAAGCCAGGCAGACACCTGCCTGTGCCTGCTCTTACTCTGGCTCTCCCTTCCTGCACACATCAGGCTACTCAACCCTCTACCTCTAAACATGAACCTACCTTCCTCACAGCCTTGCTTCCTTTTTGGCATATGCCCAGGGTGGGAAACCCAATCTCCTTCCCCGTAGGGTGGATCTCTTCAAAGTACACCTCATTTTCCACTTCTGGATGAGTTGTCAAAAGCCAGTCATAGTCATTAGCCTTAGAGTGCGCTTACGTCTCTTCAGGCATGCTTTCAGCTGGATTTTAAGGCTCTTTCCTGCACAGGATGTCTGTCTTGTCTCAAAGCAGTACTGTAATGGATGCCCTAATGCAGCCTGGGGATTAGCACGCTGGCTGACAAGTACCCCAGCTCACCACAAGCCCCATGCAGGTCTAATTCTGAAGGATTTGGCAACCCTCTCATTTTAGTCATCTTCTAGTCGGAGTTGTCAAGGCTCTTTCAGTCCATATTGAAAGACAGGAATGAAAACTCTCAGCATGCCTTGTTCAGGCACATGCCTTAAGACAGAATGAAATACCCTCTGGCAGCACCTGCATGTCTCTACTGACTACAAGGAGCACAGGGAATGACCTGCTTTGTATTCTTGACACTAGAGGTCAAGCCCAAGCTCAGTGAGTTGAGCCTGTATTAGCAGACCCCACACAACCACTGTACAAGGCAACAGCCATATTCCAGGTTAAACATGAAAGCCCAGAGCTATATGGAGTCCGTCTGGCCACAGAAAGCCCAGGGTCCTGATTCTTCTGACAAGACCATCTTGCCATGGGAGGTGTTTAAGACAAGTCAAAGACGCCACTGCCAAGGATGTACTCACTGTTGGGGTAACAGGGAATTAGCTACCTCTGCAGCTCTGAAATAAGCTCTCTGTTCTGCCACCATCTGTGTACCTTCAGACTAACCACTGGGGTACCCGAGAGCACCTCTGACTCCTGAGGAGTGCTCTTACATCTGCCAGACACTGATCCCCAGCCATCAGGTCAAAGCCAGATGGATCTTGAGTCCCCTAAAAGGATGAAGATTTCTGTAACACTCCAAGCATTTATTCCTTCCCTCCACTCCTGGTGCTGTGAACTGCAACCAGCTGTGTCTTATGCACCACTGCAAGAATGATGCAAAAAGCCCTGGAAGCCTGTTACTGCTGTAAGAGAGGCATCATGGGGCGTGAAACTGCAGAAAACAGCATATTTTTTTTGTTCCCTTTTGAAGGAAGGCTGCAGGAGGTATGGCTCCTGCCCTGGTGATCATGAGAGGCACAGCCAGGGGTGCCTCAGGCTCCCAGTCCCACCACTTTGTCCAGGACATGTTTGCAGCCTTCTCACCCTCAATGTGCCCATGTAAGAGTGAGCAGAAAAGCAGTTTCCAGCTTTCTCTGACCAGAGATCTTTCCATTGAAAGGCTGAGTAAGTACGCAGATTTTTTCAGGGCAGGAGGGAGAAAAGCGTAAGGTGGGAAAGGTTTTAATTCTTATTTCCCACAAACCCTTGGAAAACAGCTTTTAATCGGAAGCAGAATAAGAACAAGATGCACAGCTATATAATATTCCAATCACAACTTAAACTGAACTGACATCTTAAGCAGGATGAGAGGATGAAAAAAGCTTCAGGGTACAACAGATAAACAATCACATCAAAAACACCACTGTGCTAATGAGATGGTGGCTGCTTTCTTTGAAAAACATTCTGAAAAAGATTAAAAACAGGAAAGTGACAAGATGAATAGTGGAGACTGAGTGGTTTACAATGTAAGGAAAAACACAGATCACAAAATCTTGAGTTAGCTTTCTCATCACATACTGTGATGAACAGAGAGCCTATTCTCTGGTAAGAATATTATATACTATCTTCTTGGAGAGGGCTTTTGGACCACATGCTATCACTCTAATTTAAGTGAGCATATACTGATAAAAAAAAGCCAGAGCATCGTGGGGTTTAGAAAATGCTTGGGAATAGCAAAGCCACTTTGTAGCCTGTCTGCTTGCTGTGTTAACACTCATGCGTGGCTCACAGCTCAAGACCATGATTCAGCAGAAGTGCAAGCAGTTCATTAAGTATCACTCTATTCAGCACTGATTTTTCTTAAATCAGGGGGGCGAGCATGGGTAGAGGGGCAAGCAATGAAAAGCTTGAAGTAAAGAATGCACATATGCAGTAGTTGGACAAGCATAGCCACAACCTAGACAACACAGATTTGATATATGGAATTTCTCAAAAGCCCCCTAAATAAATTCCTTTGCATAGGTGGCCTCAGCCATCTCTCTATTATACATGTACCTTGCATTTCATTCTGGGTTCTGGTATCTGTAACAGGGTGTTAGAAAGGGGGAAATAACAAACCAAGACAAAAATAAAGCTCTTGAAGCATTTATCAAGTCTTAACAACTTCAGTCCTAACAGATGAAAGTTTTAAGGAAGCAAGACAAAGGGGAGCTTTGCCATTAACCAAACACTTTATCATGTGTTCCAGCCTTAACCACATCTGCAACTCTCAATATCTGCAAGACAAGGAAACAAGTCACCTGCACAGTGGTGATGGAGGCAGTACCCACAGTACCCTCAGTCCTTGCCTGTGAACAGGCAGGGAGCCTATGCCTCTAGCAGTGTGCCTGTACCAGCCATGTCCTGAACCTGAGTAAGTCACCTGAGGCACCTCACCTTTGTTCTATCAGTCAATAGACATGGTGGATAAATCATATCTACAATGAGCAGCTGTAAAACTCCCTTTTAATGAAAATAGAGATTAACACTATATTTCCAAATCTCATGCCTAGCACTATTATCTTATCTCCCACTCAGGTGGAAAAGCTGAACTGAGGTGTGCTGTCAGCATGTAGAAGTACATGAAGTGAGCAATGTCTGATTTTAAATCTGCCAATTTCTTCCCAGGACGTTACATGACTAAAGCAGATTTTTTTTTTTTTTTTCAGAATACAGTGGGGTAATGGGAAAAAATCAAAGGAAGGACTATAGTATTATCTGCCTTGGCGTTGGAGCAAGGCTCAAAGATAATTTCTTTTTCTGCAGAGCACAGAGCACATTAAGCACTCTAAAGTATTTAAGAGAGAAAAATTGTCATTTCTAATGGTTGTCATTAGAACACTGAACCACTTACGGTTTTGATGGTGTTTTTATCCTGATATCAAAGTGTCTTGTGCAAATTTTAATTGGAATAACCTGTGGCTGGACCAGATGAAAGAGAAAGAACACTCTCTTGTAATTCAATAAGAAGGAGACAGCCTCCTTTTTAACTCTGCTGAAATTAGATCTATTCTCAATTTGTTCAGAGAAGTCATGTTTGTTTTCTGGACTTTGGAAACACTTTCAAGTCTGTCCTTCTGTTGAGCTTGACTTCAAAAGTAAGTTTTGTCCAAGGATCCAAAAAGACGTCAAAAAGTAAAGCTTGTTCTTTGAATAACTGAGCTTTAACTGAGATGTTTTTTAAATATTTATTTCCAGCGGCTTAAATTTATTTCATTTTTAATCATTCACATATTGATATATGTTTTGCAGTGAAATCTAAAACAAAACTACATTAAAAAATGGTCCAGACATGCTTTGGGGAAAAAAAAAAAAAGAGCAGCAACTTCTTCAATTATACCTGCCCTAAACCAACTAGACACAGTCTTTCTGGATAATCACATCTCATAGTTTAAGAAAACATGCACAGAAAGCTGGGAAAATTGGAGTCAGTAAGTCTACCATGAGAACAGCTTAAGTAACATATAAGAAAGCACTCTAAGCACCTCTGAATATTCCCATAAGGACAACAGGTGTCTGTTCTGCCTTACATCTTGACTCACTGAGTAGATACTGAGCAAAGTCAACACTTACAGGAACAAATTCTTATTATAGCATTTGAGAAATCAAACTTCAGCCCCAGCACATGCTATAGGCTTTAAGCATCACATTGAAAATTAACTTTCCATCAGGTTTTTTAAACAGAATCTCCACATTACTTTGATTTTTATCCTTACCTGAATCAGGATGAGTACAGTGATCCAGCATGAATGTAAAAAAGTTGGCTAGCTGAGTATGGAAAAGAACAAACACATACTCATTAGTTTAGGGGATCCAACAAGCATTAACATTCTTTTTCCTTACTTTACTTACTAAACTAGCTATTTCCAATTAAGCAGATCTAAGACACTACTGCATGTTCCCATAGCACCAGCCTGCAATAACGATGCAACTTGTATCCTTCTACAGAAATGGTTTACTCCTTTCCTTCTTTGCTATGAATTAGCAGGTTGATGCTAGCTGAATACTTAAAAAGTCCCAGAGCCGTATCAATGCTGCTGACAATTTTGAGTGTAATTCATCTTGTCCATCACCCACACTACTTGCCTAGGACCTCCTTTGTAGTCAATAGAAATATACTCCTACAGCGCACTGAACTGACTTTAGACCCTGATGGTAGGATGAACACAAAGCCCGGGAAGTTCCTAATCACCTGTACTGATGTGCTGAGACACAGATATCTCTGTTGCACATATCTTGCCTCACAGCCATGGTTAAGATGACCTGCAATCCCTGGCTAACAGAGCTGTTCCACAGGAACCTCTAACCTAGATATGGTTGTACAGCCAGAATGGTGTCCTGCTGCTTGCGTAGTTATATATACATATATATGTCTGTATACACACAACTTAATTAGTTCATGTGCAAGGCAGGGAATCACTTTTATTATACAGGACACAGCTTTGTGGGGAGAAATAACCACATATCCTTTCTGTTTATGTGTAGCTTCAGTCCTTTGGGGATAACAGAACTGCTTGTACAGGAAGAAGTAAAAATTACAAACCTGGAGTTGATCTTGCTCATCAGCATATTCGATTGACTGAAAGATACTCAGAGAATAGCGGCGCCTTGTCTCTAGCCGGGCCTTTGTAAAGCGGTACCAGTTCTGGATGAGGATAGCAGCTCTAATGGCTGTCAAAACAGAAAACAAGGGAGTACACATGGATGCGGTGTAATCTACAATGAAAACACATGTGCCACCTTTTCAGAATTTTGCAGACAGATGACAAATTCCGTCCGTTATGCACAGTCGACATTAAAATGAAACTCTGTAAAAGTGAGACTGAAAAAACATTTTCTAATATTTGTTTCTTTCTTCAGAGACAGATCCCAATCTAGATGATTTGCTCAGGCCTATATTGTTAGAAACCTGTCTCATTTCACTGTACTGAAGACAGCACCCATGTAAGAAGCCAGCCATGTTCAGCTGATGGGCAGTGCATGGGTTTTGGGAATGTGAGGAAAGGAAGCAGTTTTGGCCTACTAAAAAAATGTATTTCTTTACCAACCTACAGTAAAAAGCTTTAGACTTTGCAAGCCATAACATGAACATTGTGTAATGACAGAGTTTGTAACAGCCTCTTTTAACAGAAAACTTTTGCCTGCACAGAGGTATCAGCAAGCCAGTAAAATTCAAACTTTAGGATAAATACTAACAATGGTACTGAAGGGCAGAATATATTGCTTAAATAGATGTGCCAAAAGACACACAGGTATATCTTTGGTTAGTTTGAACAAAGGAACACTCACCCCAAGACTTCAATGGGACATGTCAGAAGACCATTTTGGACAATATGCTGAATACACACCCCACTCAGCACTTTAAGAAGTCATGTCTACCATCGTTCAAGTCTGGAAAACTGCTGGAAACTTCACTGAAGGACAATCACCAAGATTGCAGCCTAGAATAAAGGGCCTGCTGCCTATAGGCCCCACCCATGCCACAAACAGATCACATTCCCTTAGCTGCTCAGTTACAAGTTTATCAAGCAGAACAACACCTGTACAAAGAAATCCTGGGGTAGGCATTGTCCTGTGGGGAGAGCTCCTCACACCCATGTCAAGCAGTTAGTGCTGCGTGAACAGCTGCCACCAGCAAAAGCTGTGCAGTACAGGAGCAGCAGGATCTGATGCCCACTTGATCCCTCCCCATCATGCTGACAATCCTGCCTGCTACTCCTCACACCCAAAGAGAAGGGCAGCAGCTCTAAGGAGCCAGGTCACGAAATCTGGATGGCAGTAGCACTGCCAGCAGGAAGACAGGCAGTCTTGTCCTCAGCATTACAGGTGATAACTGCAGCTTCGACTGATGTGGAGTAAGGAGTGAAAGCCAAAGTCTGGAGGGGCTGTGCTCAGCCTGAAATAACCATGAGCTGGGGAGAGGAGGAACAGATGAGCGGTAACTTCCACTGTTTCACAGAGCTGTGTCTCTCTAGCGCTCTAAGGGCTCTTATCCAGAAAGATCAACTAACTTTGAGAAAATCATTCCTCTGTCACTGTTAACTGTTTAAGATCAGTAGAGAGGCATAAACGCACATTTCAGATACTTAGGGCATATATAAGTATGGATTTATAAGGAGGACATCCAGAGGAGGACACCATTTACTATACAAAATCAGAACAAAATGCAGCTACTGCCTGGTAGATGGAGCAGCTGAAGTAATGGCAAATTCAAATCTAGTCTTTTGCTTAAATTATGAGAGCACTAGCAGGGGCAGTCAAGAGGCATGACACGCATCACTGCATAACAGCAAGAGGAAGACGTACTGGATCCTACACCTGTCCCAGTGCAACCACATCGCCACCACCATATTCTTGCCTGACAACAAAAAGTAAAGTAAGGTAGGAGGCTGCTCTCAAGAGATGTCACATTTACTCACTTAAAGTTGAACATAATACTTTCTTGACTCATTCCTTACCTCTTTTCCCTCTACTCTCCACAGGATACCAGTAAATTAAGTAGACAGAAATGTCAAGCCTTTGCCTCCAGTCCTGCAGCTAACACCTCACTTCAAGGAGTTTCCTAAGGAACTCAACCATGAATAGCTCGACATAGGACACAGGAAAAAGTCTTTATGCTTCTGATCATGGGGGAACAAGTCAAAGCAGCTGCAGGGCAATTCTATCGAAGGTGCAAGGACCAAAAGAATACACTGATCTTAGCTCCTGACACTCCCAAGAACTAGAGCTCATTTCTGAGCAGAGGAACAGAAACAAAACTGAGACATTCTCTTGAATTCCCGAGTTTGACACATTCACCACTGCACAGCACTGCAAAATCATGAAAAATAGTAACAGAGGAAACTAAAACCAACACTAATGTCTTAACACAAATATGCTTCTATTTTGTTGCAATTGATACTGAAAAACAAAACAAGAAATAACAGCCAACAATTAATACTAATGTTTTTTTCTCCCTGCAAAGCTTTGTAATAGAGGGACAACAGTTTAGTCATTATTTCAGCTGTTCACAAATACCAGGAATTTTGAGACTAGGATGACCAGCACCTCTGAGTGAGAGTGATTTTTTTCTTAAACTGACAGTTACACAGGTAAAGAAAAGCCTCCATGAAAAAGTGATTCTATTAAAAAATTTATAACATTAAAGAAGCTTTTTAATAAAAATGCTTACAGGTGTCATAATAGCATGTTTGTTTATTTTGCCATTAATAAGTATACAGTATAGTTAAAGTGGTAGTTTTTTACCAGACAAGGCCACAAACAGTAAAGATTCCCATCCTACAGATATTGCATCCATCCTAAAGGAATCCTTCTGCCTAAAGGAAATGTAATCCTTATAGGACTAAGAGCATCCATTGTACTCTACATAAACTCTGAGATCCCTCTTCTTTTCTGTCCTTTCTGGAATTCCTCACCATCACAGACCTGAAAGCCTGACACATCACAGCAAGGCTGTCATCAACTTTTCTGTTTAGAGGAATACCTAAGGGGCAAAGCCACCAGCACAGAAACTGATTTCCAGCATCAGAACCATTAAACTTCCCATTAAAGCCCCCCCCAGGTTGCTTAATGGTCCTGAGCACTTAAGACAGCACCGTTCCACTGGTATCATCTAAGACAGATATGTATCAACCACTACGGTTAATGTTGCAAATCTAACAGAATATTTCCTGCCTTTTTTTTTTAATTGTGCTTATTACAGTGCTGTTATTCTCAGGACTGAATCAGAACATGATTTTCATACCAGGCTAAACTGCATCTGTAAAAGAAATTGTTATGAGTTGCAGAATGTCTCTACACCACAAGTACCTGTTAAATTCATGTTATTAATGCATTAGAGGGATATACAGCCTCAGGCTGCTGAGAGAACGACAGTTCAGCATCATTTGACTCCTGCTGAAATGCAGAAAGAATACCATCCAGCAACTGGAGAGGACAAAACACTGTTGAAGAAGCATACAAAACATTAAGCCAACTTTGGGGTAGTGAAGTCTGGCTCCACACCAATGTGTATTGATGGTTGTGGACTGAAAAGAGTGGCAGTCCCCATGCCCACTCCAAGTTTTTGCACCCTCAGAAATATTCCCAACCAACTCATCTCCAATGCCTCACAAGGTACATAGATGCATAGCATGCAAACCTGAAGAGGAAGGACTGCTTCCCAGTTGCACATGGGTCTGGGACTCCAGATGTTTCCATTCTACTTCCACTGCTGTAATACAGCATTGATGCTGCTGTGACAATTCAGTAGTGTTCACAAAGCTGAGGGCTACCCTTAAACCAGTCAGCTTGAATCCCTGTAGCCATGACTAAGCACTCCTGCCTCTTAGTCACCAGTTCCCTGTGACTTGTGTCCTGGCTTGTAACCAAAAAGAGCCTTTCTTTTCAACCGTGGTTGTTCAGCATAATCATCTCCTAAAACTATGCACAGTGCCATGTAACATGGCTCTTGGCAGACCTGTAAATTGTGCTTTAAAGACAAACCTCGAAAGAGAACACAAAGGGTCTGAACAAAGGTCTGAGACAATTCTGAAACAAAAGGATTTTTACCTTTACCTGTGCAAAGCCTGGTGTGTTCATACCAGGGTGTGGCACAATTAAAAGCAGGGGGGTGATGCATTAGTCTTTTAATTGAACAATTAACCAGGTACTGTGAGACTTCCAATCGACAGCCTCAGTGAGTGTCAGGGAGAATTTCAGGCCAGGCACTTGGTATGGCAGAAAACTGATTCTGAGTCATTGTAATAGCTCTGCTTTATTACACTTGTTTCATAACCAGGGTCACCAAGCAGCAAGGAAGTTTTTTTAGGGCAGTTTGCCCAGGAATCTTGTGTAGTGAAAAGGTATAAAAGGTCTCCCTCAATACCTTAGCCCATATGCTTTGCCAGTGACAGAACAAGCACAACACAGCTGAAATTTAGCCTCTGTCCCTAATGCTGTGAATCTTTTCCAACCCAATCTGTAGATGTTAGAGGTGGTCTACAGTTGCCTTCTGACCTCAGCCAGCATCTAAAAGCTAGGCACTCTTCTAAAAAGAAGATAATTAGCAAATCATTTTCCCTGAACAAGTATTTTGAAAACTAGACTGGAGGGAAATGCTACCTTGCAATCATCTTCTGGTGTTACAGAGAGAACAACCACTGACCCTGAAGACAAAGGCAGCACTCACCTTTCTCTGACCTTCTGTAAGCTACAGAACTGTTGCACCCCATGGTTCCAACGATGCTGCCCAAGTTTTAATTGCTGCAGATATGAAGCATGTTTCTCTCGGCTATTAGCGTCACACACATTTCCTGTGTTGTTCCTTCAGTGATGAGGATTATACCCCTCTGGGCTCCTGGACTCATCCTAGCACTCCTAACAGGGAGAGGATCAGGAGAGAGAGAGATATTTAAAAAAAAAAAAAAAAAGAAAAAAAAAAAAAAGTGTTTCACAACACAGAATCTAAAGAACCTACAGCTCATAACCAATTACTGTACAGCACATCCCACAAAAACTGGACCTGATGAACCATACTAGGTTTCTTTTTCACATCTGATAACTATCAATTTGCATTCAAGAAGATGAACTCAGTAATTAATACAGCTTACTCCTTACATGTTAGCTGAAAGCTGATATGCAACACTGATTTCTTAATCTGAAGCATAGCTATTTAAAGCCTTACTACTAGGGACAAGGGACTACAGAGGCACGTCACTCTTCATTCTTGTGATTTGAAAATTGGAACTGTAGAATTTTAAGGACTTTAAATTACATCTGATACTACTGCTAAAACAACCCCAAACATCAGCCCTACTAACACTCTACTGATTTGAAAAGTTGCCCTACCACCCCATTTATCACTTTATCTCTCAGTGTAACCATCACCAAATTTACAAGGAGAGACAGTGGCATAGCAAAGTGCTTCATTATCAGATTTCATTTAAAGAAAATATCACATTTTCTGTTGCACTTCTATAGAAACATTCTAAATAAAAGATTTGGTTTCATTAAATAAACGAACAAAGTACATTTTGCAGTGTGGCCTTTTGGCCTTTTCTCCTGGCACTTGATCAGCTCTTCAATAAATGTTATCACTTATAATGCAATACACCTCCTAATCAACAAGTTCAAATGAATACAATTCCCTTGAGATACAAATGGGTTAATTTCTGAGTAACAAGAAAGTCACTGATGCTCTTAGAGAGACTGAACTTTGTTTTAGCTAAAGATTTCTTGTATGATCACACTGACCCCTCTCTCTCTCTCTGTCTCCAGGAATACATTTCTCTTTAGCATGTCTGATGTCTAAATTACCGCATTTGTTGTTTTGTTTCATTGATATTCTTTTTCTTTTGAGTTCTAAAACAAAGAAGAAATTCATCAGCATAAGATGAATGCTTAACTACCATTCTTTTCCTTTGGCTTTACTAGCAGAAGTAAAAATAGGAGGAGGATAAGAGAGAGGAAAACATAAATGCATAACTAGCCCATTTTCAATTTCAATGGTTAGAATACATTTATTGTTGTAGGACTATTTACAGGTTTTATATATTATTACACATTATTACATATCATGTTATGTTATGTGATGTTTGTTATGTTACATGATGTTAATACTGCACAACTTTTTAGTTGTGGGGCTGCTTTTCAGGGTCCCACAACACCAGGGTATCCTACACGTGAGCTTGATCTGCCACCTTCTTTCAGGAAAGAAGGATTTTAGGGTTTTTTCTCCACAACGGACTGCTTTTCCTCCCTCTGAAGGAGCTGGCATGAAATCAAAAAAGTGCTGTTACATTAATTTTGAGCCAACTGTAACATTAATTTTGAACCAATCAATGGCTTTGACAGCATCAAATACAGCACTGACATTGCTAATAGCTCAAATTTGTCTTCACTCCAAACAACTGTTGTTCTACTGAATACCATCTCCTCACTTGCCCTCTTAGGAGAATCTCAAGTATTCATTAGTCCATCTCAAACCAGCCACCCACAACTTGAATTGTGATCTAAAGGCTAGAACCAAGAGCAAAAAGATCTTACAATCTAAATCCTGTTGCAGCAAGCCTATCTTCATTAGAGGGTTGGTCAGCATATGCCCAGCATCTGGGCAACAGGAGCCCCAAACAGAACCACCATGGCCCTCAGGACTCCATCCAAGACAGGGCAAACAATGGGCTGACCCAAGAAACGGGAATCTGAATCACTATCGCACCTTACTTTCAATGACTTAAGCTTTTCTCCCAGTCATCCTCACTCTTCCCCCACCTATCTCTTAAATTCATGGACTTCTATCACCTCCTTGAGCAAAAAAAATATAAGAAAGAGACATAGGAGCAGAAGTTTTATGGTGATAGCAGTAAATGAAGCCTGAAACATACACTCAAAGCTTGGAAGAAAATTTGCACAAATATATCCTATCATTAAACCTCTTAAAAAGGCCAAATCAGGCCCTCAAAGAGCTTGTGCAGGGGAATAATCATCACCTTCAGTCCCAAATATATGCATCCTAAAAGGGCCATAGCGAACATTCAAACTGCTACCCTATTTCCCCATGGCTTCTCAGATGGCCACAAAGCCATCCTGGGCTGCCAACCTGCATGTCAAGACTCCAGACTAGCCACACCCACTGAAGACCCCCACAAGCAGGGTCTCCACCCAGGCCCAGCAAATTCACTTTCTGCCCTTGTCGACCTAAAGAATCATGAATAGGGGGATCAAGCCACTGTGGAAAGAGCCAGTGCCTCCCCCAGGCCAGGGCTCTTCCTTGCTCCTAATTGAGCCACTCCAAAGGAAGAAATCTGCTCCAAAGGCCTTCTATGGGGAAGAAGGTTGAAAATCAAGCATTTGAAATGACAGAGTCATTTCTGTAAGCTATTTACTATGCAATGTAGCAATGTCTAGCGAAGAATCATTTCCCATTACAAAATTTCCCCAAATGTTGGCTGATGAAATGGGAAGCTGGGATCTTACCAAGGTATTTAAAAAGGCTTCAGAGATACAAGGACAGTGGATGAGAATTTGGGACATAATGTTCTGGATACTATACCACTTATTTACTCTTAAGAGAGAATCTGTCATGTTCACTAAAAAGCAATTCAATTTCTACAAGTCAGTGGTCTCTCCCATTTTTAGATATAACTTCAAGAAATTACTACATTTCTCTCAGTTCAGCAAGAAGGCAATTTTGTGATGGACAAGCACTGAATACACAACCCATCCACTGAAGCAAAATAAAATGTCATTCCAATCACGCCAATAGACATGCATCAAGCTAAGCCGGAGTGGCACATGCTGCTCTTTTTCTGGATAGGAGTCACTGAAGGTTACACTGCAACAAGTGCTCAGAAATTTGGCTTTCAGAACCTGAGCTGTCAAGAGCCTGATTTACAGAGATGATGAATCAGCACCATTTGATCTGGATGTAATAGGTGCTGCCAAAAATCAATCATGCCTCCAGTTTGTCAGTCATGTAAAGACCAGGCTGCCTCAAGAATAATGGAAATCTTGTAAAGATTTATAGCTGACTTTTAATGAAATCAGGCTGCAGGTCCTTTGGGCAGAGAACCATCCTTTCAAGCATACCTTATGTTTTAACATGAGTCGAGCTGTGCTACTGGCAGACAAGTGTAAGCTAGGTCAAGCCTGAGAATATGGAAGCCATAGAAATAAGAGCCACTAGGTTTCAATTTCTTATTCTTGCTTCATTTCATTTGTTTCTTACCTTTGATAAAGAATGAAACCTTTATTTATGTTGGGGTGGGATTTCCACTATTATGCTACTTCCCCTGCAAGTTGTTTCAATGGCTATTTCCAGCAACGTGACTCCCTTCCCTACTCGTCCCTTTCTCAACCATATTTGTGAACAGGTAGTTATGATCACCTCCTATAACCTGTTGTAGAAGGTACCTCTGCTTGGAGAGAGGTTTCTCTGCTTGGGACAGGTTTCTCCATAAAGATCAGATGGATGGATGGATGGATGGATGGGTGGATGCTTCCAGTGGCAGGGGCTTTCCTTTGATGTCTTTTTTGCTATCAATTTTTAAATTTTCTGTGACTCACAGACCTTTTTTTAGAGTTGTTTTCCTCTGGAAATGAGGACTGCAGAGAACCAGGAAATTCTATAACATGGGTTTATGATGAATTTTCTTCTGTGCATTGTTGAGGGAATGAGGCACAAAAGAGCAAAATACCATAGAGAAGAGAACTCAGTCATTACATCACAACACCCAGGTTAGCACCTGCAGAGAGACACTCTTCAAAACTGTCTTGTTGTCAAAGTTGGGATTGTCAAGGACAGGGATCTAGAGATGAGTTAAAGATTTCATTAGCTAAAAGACCCACTCTGCAGAAAGTGGGATGAAGCAGCCACAGCCAACTAATAAGAGTGAAAGAGAACCTGGCTATGGCACAAGACCTGTAATTTTGACACCAGTGCTGCATTTGGTCTGCCCAGGGGCTGGTATGAGAACATCAAACATAGGCAAAGCAGTATGTGTTAAGGTCTCTTGTTATTTTGCATCCATGAGATAAACTGACATAAAGTGACTTTTAGTGATTTTATCTATCTATCTATCTATCGATCTATCTATCTATCTATCTATCTATCTATCTGTCTATAGTTATATATCTGAAAGAAAGAAAGGAGAAAGCTTTTCTGTTTACAGACAATTTCTTCAGCCTGCTCACAGAAACAAGGCTAAGCTCAATATAGAATTGATGGAATCATTTCTAGCAATGGCTAGATCTCAGTGTTTGGGCCAGGAATCACTAGGGAATTGATATAGTAAGATACCAGAAAGCCAGCAAAGCCTGAAAGAGAATAGGATGAAGACAGACCAGCTCATTAAGGTGCACTCCTATTCCTGAGCCCAAAAATGCACTGCAAAAAGAAATAAAAGCAAGAGTTGCAAAGGTGTGAACATGCAGAGATTGCTCAAGCAATCCTTGAGTTCAGGAACTGCATGCATATCCAAAGAGAATCTGTAGAAAAATGATGGAAGAATGCCAGTTCATGTTATTGACAATCAATAAAGGATACATTTACACAAAACATTTGCACTTTTCTGAGCAAAAAATAAACAAAGCAAGCAGCCTCATTTTTTGCACCACAAGACTTTGGGGAGAATGATTTTAAAAAAGAGGGGGAGTAGCAAATACAAGTGCACAAATGGGGTGCAGATCACTTTGAAGTATAAGCAAAGCCATCACATTACTTTCCAGAAATGTTAAATGCCTCTAGGAGGAGATTCCTTTAGGAAGTAAGGAGAAAACTAAAAAACCTGAAGCAAAGTCTAGTAAACCAGACCTGACCAGAGCAAAAAGTTAACAACCATTGTAAACAAAATCAGAATCATGAGCTGTCCTGCAGTTAATGAGCAGGGTCTTAATGACACCCCATTTAATTCTCCTTACTTGAAGGGGGAAAGTGGTCAAAAAGCAAAACTCCAGAATAAATGTGTTGAAATCTGAGTGAGTTTAAAAATGAAATTCATGCTTCAGCTGAAATTCATATTGGTTTTAATAAAGTTTAAGTTAAGCATCAGAACAAGGTTAAAAATTATCAACATAAAATTAATTTTTCCTAAAACAAAAAGTACATGAACTACAGCAATCTCAAAGCTATTTGATCTCATCTGGACTCAGAAGTTCTGAATGACGATCCAGTCCAGCTCAAACTTTATAGTTTTAAGCACATTGGTTTTTCTCAGGGTAAAATCACAAATACATCCCATATACATTCCTTACACAGACTTAGGATGAAGTCAATTTACTCTTTAAAAGTGAGCTTATATATATATATATATATATACACACACCCATATATATATATATACACATATCCCCCGCCCAAAGCTATTACCTGTTTTTTCATTCTGCTTCAGCAATACCGAGATTTTTTCTACAAGAGTACCTTTAGGAGATTCTTTTTTAAGAGAAAGCAGCCCCTTTTTGGAAGGAGAACTGCACAACAAGGGGTGCAGCTCTGCAGAACAGGTGCTCCAATTCTCTCTGGGGCTCTGGCGCTCAGAGGCTGCAATGCACTTGCTCTCCACCTATTTGTACAGCTTCCTGAGAGGAAATTTCTTGAGCGCTGCTCTTCAGAAACAGTCAGGGGAAAACGCCATTTTCATCGTCCAGCCTGATGTGAAAGCTCATGGCTGCAGCCCTCCAGCTGCGCTGTACGCGTGCTGTTGAAAAGCTGTTTTGTCACATGCCTCCTGAATCTCAGGCAGAGAAAGGGATGAGCTGAAGTTATCTGCTTCGCATCCGAGGTCACATGATTTCTTTCAAGAGGAACGGCCTTTCTGCTGTGTTGAGGCAATGATTTGCATTTTAGCAGATCTAGCACACCGGAAAAAAACATAAGGGCTGTCCAGGTATTTGGTCATCTGATGTGACTGGCATGGTTACGAAAGCCCTTAAGGAGAGAATTACTGAATCTACCATGAGGCACTGTATCTGCATGTTAGTGATATGGGTGTTCTCCAAAACATTCAGTCATACCCAGATAATGGGACAGGTATGAAGCACTCAGATCTTGCCCTCAAAAGCACTACACTAATGCCTGTACATTTCATTTCTTCATGTGCATTCACATGTTCTCCCCATAAACATGTGACTGGAACTCTGGATTCGGTTCATGTTTTGGCTCATCTGCTCTTGAGCGACTACTGGCAAGGGACCAGACAAGCCAGGAACGCTGCAGCATTGCTCCCCTGTGCGGTCAGGAAGGTGTGGTGCCGCATGCTTTGAAATCAAACTCTGACCCCTGGCAGCAGGGCCCGCACCTCTAACCTAGCTCCTTGCCACGCTGACCACGGACTCAGTCACAGCAGAGGCGCCGAGGGAAGGGCAGAGCCGTCACGCCCAAGGGGATCTGTTACTGTTCACTGCTAGCACAACAGCCCCGGAGGAATCTGCTGCTTCTGGCAGTGTATCGGTAGCATGGGGACACTGCAATTTTGAACACACACACACACACACACCCCCCACCAAACTATTCAAAAATATGAGGTGTCAGTACAAGTACGGTATTTTAACATCACCAGTACAGTCTTGGGCCCGGTCCTTGGCATCATTCATCCTCATCCTCGACACACCACCTTTTCCCCCAGTCTGTCCTTCCACTCCTCTCCGAAAGCTGGGGAAGGGCTGCTTGCTGCTGTGCAGGGTGATGGAACAGAGTATAGCAGCCACTTCTGTGGGGTCAGTGTGAGGAACTGAGTCCAAAGAGACCACAGGTTATCAGGCATGCTGTGGTGGGAGAAAGCTCCACACAGATTGGCACAAGATGGGGATCACCACGCCCCTTGCTCTGCAGCCTCTCCTCGTGGCAGAGTCCCACCAAGACTGGCTAGGGAGCAGAAGATTTCTGAGAACAGAGACAAACTAAGTTCTTCACCCTCCTACCCCTGCTCCAAAGGTCTAATAATACTGTAACAAGGTATTTTCCGGATTTTTTTTCCATCAGTCTGGTGGCAGTCCTAGAGGCATCAACCACCAACCACTGTGAAGGACAAAGTGATGAAATCGTCTTTTGGGACTGACAACTGCCCTTACTGTGACAGAACATATGCATTTATTAATGTGAAAAAGATATTTAAAGTCCCAAACCAGCAAAGCAGAAGGCACTGTGTGAATGCACTGGTTTGATTGACTGAGCTAGCCTTTGGAGTTCTAGAATCCCAGACACAAGCTTCCACTTTCAAAGCTGTTCCTCTCCTGTGAGATGAGACAGTAAACAGAACATACCAGGTGCAATAATTCTGCTTGACCCAGAAGAGTTTTGATGTTTGTTTTTCTGGCAGAATGCATTTTCCCTGATAAGAATTACAGTAGCTAATCATTTATGTATGATCACACTGTTCTGCCAAAATGCATGCAAACAAAAATACATCATAACCTCTCTCCACTGCATGCTGGGGATACACATTATTTATGAAACATTTACTGTACCTGATAAATTCATCTATATTGGCATTTACCAAGATCTCTGCATAATGAGAGGCTACAAGATCTGTTCCAATGGCCAACAAATCCATCAGAAAGGTTTCATCCAAGATCAGTGGGAGAGGAATCAAACTTTTAGCTGTTAGGTTCTGTAGGACATAAAGTCTCCACTGTCTGTTTTCTTTTGTTTTTCACAGAAGTTGTCCACCTGTCTTAATGACGTGACCAAGCAACCTGATGAAGAGTCAGTCTTTCTGGACTGAGAGACCTCTCCAGTTACCTGTGGGGATCACAATAACATGCAACTTGAGGAAACACAAATTTGCTTTCCAAATTAACCTTTCCTGTTCGAGTCCAAGAACACAGGCTGTACCAAACAAGGCCATTCTACCTAGGGCAAAGAGAACATACCAGTCCCACAAGGTCACACACACTACCGCAATTTTGTTCAGTGGTCATGTATTACAAGCACACTTAAGATGATGAAAAGGGTTTTAGCATCAACAGCTGTAACAGAAAGTAGGCCAAAATATTCTGACAATATGTTGTTGAGCAGTCTAGCATGACAAGAAAAAACGAAGTTATGTTACTAGTGCAGAAATCAGGACATCCCTTTACAAGCAGCTCTTCCTGATGTAATAGCACATATTCGGTTTTCCAAATACTTTGGAAACATTAACCTCCTGACAGAGCCTCCATGCAGGCATTCCTCATACATAATTCAAACTCTGCTTCAGGCCTATTTCTCAGAAGCACCCACTACAAAGTGATTGTAACCAATATTTTTCAGAAAAACTGAAGATAATCACAGTCAAAGTGATTGTGCTGTCAGAGCCCTTACTGTGATTCCCCTCCTCTTACCCTACCAAGCTCAAAGAAGTATTTTTATGTGACCCAACAATTTAAAAGTACTAGCCAGGGGAAAAGTCCCTGTCTGAGAGACCTAGATATCCAGTCACAAACAGAAAGAATAACAAGACAGAGGAAATTGAGAGAAATAAATGTCCAGAACAATTCTAAATTCTGTCTCAGTCAGTTAGATGACAGAACTCTGTTCTCACAAACCCAAAGGAGTAGGTTAATTTGGGTGAACAGGAAAAGACATCTCCCCCCCACTGACAAGTCTGGGTGAGATGATGAATAAATAGCATTGAAACTAGTAAGGATGCTAGTTTCAATGTCAGGCAAAAAAACCACAAAATCAGAAATGTGAAAGAAAGGCAGTTGTAGGGCCTCCAAACTCCCAAAGGCCAAAAAACTAGACCAGAACACTATGGAAGCATTAGGATACCTTCTGTAAAAATGAGAACAATTTTTTTTAAAAAAGGAAAATTTCCCAAATTATCAGTTGAATGCAGATTATTCTGGGAAGCAATGACTAATGACCTAATTTGTGCAACTCTACTTCCCTCACAAGTTAGCTTCAGACTCCACTTAAGAGTTTATAGAGATGATAGCGATCTACAGCACTCGGGTTTTGCCAAACCTTAGTAAAGCAACATGAGGAAAAATAAATGGGCACAAGAATTGCCTAACAACAGCTTGATCTGCATTTGGTTGGTCTGGTGAACCATAAGGTGCACAGGCAGTGCAAAATCTACATCCTGAAGCCTCAAGCCTACCAGACTGCCTCCTCCCAAAAGGCATCTCTGGGTTAAACCAGACTCTCCAAGACAGGAGGGTACACAGATTTGACTGGCACACTAATGATCAGTATGCAAAAGGATTTTTAAAAAGCATTTTAAATTGTTTTTTAAAGACTGGGAACTGCCAACTACTAAGTGCAGCCATCACATACATGGTAGGCAGTCAGCAAAGTCTATGGAAATAATTTTATTCACCTTTGTTTTCATTTTATCCTTATGAAATTGCTTCTAATGGCAAAAAAGACAAAGTTTTCTATCTTGTAACACTGTCACCTGCTGCTTCAGCAAAATATTATTGATTTCAAGAGTCAAGGCAACCACAGTATTTACTACAAACCATACACTGTTTTGCTTATAGGCACCATATGCTTCTGAAAATTAACAAACTTGTCTTTTATATTCTAAATAATAGCTTCTGTTTGTAACTTTTAATCACAGTCCTGTAAACACTGTACAGGTGCCTTAATTGGTACTTCCACAAGCCACTCCCTTTGGGATGTGAGGATTTAGTATGGTGAGGACTGAGGTACTATGAATAGCACAAAACCCCAGGTAAAACATAATAAAAAAAGGCAATTATTGTGTGGTGTAACTTGACAAAAAGCTCCTGAATGAATGAGTACCTGATGCAGATGGGCACAGAACTGCACTGAAACAGCTGCGCTGCTCTGTACCCTCACAAAGAGCCATCTTCCGCAGTAGCAGCACCATAAACCCGCAACCTAAGTAATCTTGGATACTGCTGGATGGGAGTAGGGGCTGAGCAGATGCTTAGAGGAGCTCGATCAGCTTCCCTTTAACAAAGACACACCTACGAACGCTTAGACCTCATCGTGCTACTTCCCATGTAACAAATTTTTTTTTTTTTTTTTTTTTT